ATGAGGCGGGTATTTCCTTTGCCCGTTCCGGATGGTCTTCTGCAACCGCTGAATCGCGTCCAGGGCAATCGGATGGGGACGAGTGCGCAGAAACTGGTTAAGCTCCTGAATTCACAAAGAAAAGAAACAAAATTTTCATAAAAAGAAGGAACCACTGCAATAAATAGAAAACAGCGCAAAAAAACTTGAAAAAAAAAATAACCCACGAAAGTATAAGGAGAAACATGGATAAGCGCTTGTTCTTTTCCTTTCGTAAAATGCACATTAAAAGTATCTATCCAAGATTAAAATTGCTCTCACGAAAGCCGGAGACCATGGAAAATGCTAAAAATATTTTTTCAAGAATTTATGAAACGTCCGATAATTTTACAACAACAGCAAAATTGAAGATTACAGAAATCGGGGATGACCAACCTTCAAAAGATTTTGCGAAGACGCAAACAACCCGGTCGCGAGCCACATGAGTTCCCATCCGCGCTCTTCAGACAACCGGTTTCTATTGTCAGTCAGCTGTTTCATGATTTGGCAGTACACTTCATCTCGAAGGATCTCCTAGAACACGAAAAAAAATCAATTGCAAACGAATAACAATTTGAAACGACGGAGTCGAAATCATGGTTCAGAAAATTATACTGACGTGTTTCAAGGGTCCATCGAATATTTGGTCCGTAAGCTCGTTGCCCGTACGCGATCTTCTCGACGGCAAATCTCCCATGTATTTCAATATCGCAGTGAAAGCGCCAACAGCCTGGAAAAACCCAAATAATATGTTACTGCACACCCTTTCAAAATTTTCAAGACAGAAAAAATTATCAGAAAAAAGCGCAAAAAAAAAGTACGCGTGCATATAATAAAAACTTAAAAAACTAATACAGTATTCCAGAGAAGGATATGTTATTTAAAAAAGGTTCAATGGGCTAAACTAAAAAAAAAAAAAAAAAGAAACTGGATAAAAATCACAATTTGTAATTCTTACACTGTATGATGAATAATTTTCACAGATTACGGCTACGATACAGAAAATGTAAAAAATCCTTCAAATTTTTTCGATTACTTGAAAAAAGTTGAATAATATTAATTTTTTTTTACAGGTACACGAAGCAAATTTTAATAAATTTTGCAATCGATTGTGTAACTAATTTATCTACACAGTATAGATTTGAACTACTGTATATAGTTGAACCTCTACAACTCGAACCTTCCTATGTCAAATTTGTGTTCAAGTCCAGATCTGAATTCCCTTTGAAACAATGCATTAAGAACCTCCCTAACTCAAAGGCTTTCCCCTAAAGCCTCCATAACTCAAATTGTATCGAGGAATATTGGCTATTATTTGATTGACACAGAAAGGAAAAAAAGGAACAAAAAGGTAACCTTAGGCGTCAAGAGAGTGATAGACTATAATTGGGCAAGTGAACCCTCTCGCTTTCAACTTCAGCATCCTGTCAAATCATCACGAAGCAATACTATCGCAAATTCCAATTTCCTGAAATTCTTCTTTCTCCCATAAAAAATGCTCTTTCCTCTAACCCATCGAAACACCCCATTCTCAAATTCATTTTGCTAGTCCTTTGATGTTCGACTTACAGAAAAATTTCCACAATGAAATCGGAAAAAAATTGATCAAGTTTCTCGAACCTCCATGGCCAATTCCTCTTTAGTCAGCAGCTTCTTCAGCAGCGGCTGGCGCACGGGCTCCCTGCTGTGGCGCCACAACTCATCCTTTCCGCCACGTCTCGCGCTCGTCAGCGTCAGCGCCCTCGACATCGTTCGCTTCGCCGGCAACCTAAAATGATCAATGGCGTACTCCTCCAAAGTGTGCAGTTTTTGCACGCCGACCCCGTCGCCGCCTATTCCGCTCACACTGCCGCCGGTGCCGATGAGGCGGCGGTGATGCTCCGCCCCGGCTTCGCCACTAAACAGGGCAAGGATTTCCGGCGGCGGACGAGACAAACACGGCAAGATGTACACAGTTTCGGCAGGGAAATCCCCGCGTTCTTTCGTCGTCGTCGAGCGTCCCACGCACCAGCCCGTGTTCATGGCTGTCTCTCCGCTTGAGTCATCTTCCAACTCAATCAAATCGCCCTAGAGAAAAAAAAGNGGGTTTTACGCATATTGTCCAGGTGGCTGGGCACCCCAGCTAGTATAGTATGGTGTACCTGTGCACTTGGGCAATCTATCAACTCTGGAGGGAGAAAACTGGCACCTGCTCATAAGTCGGTCCCATGGTGTAATGGTTAGCACTTTGGACTTTGAATCCAGCGATCCGAGTTCAAATCTCGGTGGGACCTCAATTTTTTCCACTTCATGGTTTCAGAAAAATTGATATTTGTCTATGACACACGCCCCTTTCTTTTTCTCCCAAATTACAGAAAAAGGTGAACATGGTACTCAAAGAGTGGAATAAGATTACTTCTGCTGGATACATTAAGCAAATTTAAAAGAATTTTGTTATTACTGTACATTATTTACTCATGTAGAATAACCATGCTGGTATGTTTACTTACCATGCGCCCTTGAGTAAGAAGCACACCAGCATATTTTAATTACAGTACTCTAAAACCACAATATTTAAAAATAAGAAAACCCAATTTGAATTAAGACATGAATTTCACATGACTTAGAATAATATTCAATTTTTTTCATAAAAAAAAACTTTTTCCATTGAACCTGGTCAAAAAATTCTCATTAAAATCAAGTACATAATTATACGCACCAAAATTTATAAAACTTTCTGAAAAATGTATAACCTTCTTTGACATGTATACCCACTTTTTCCACTCAAAATAAAAAAGTCCGCGCGGTACTCCAGTAAATTTCGCAAAATTAAGATTTCTACGATATGAAGGCACACAATTTAGATTCGTTCGTCTTTCATATCGGAAAAAAAATTATTCCCCGTCTCAATCAGTACCCGAAACTTGGGTTCGTTGAATTTGTTCCCCAATTCCATATTTTCTTCAGCTATACGTACAATAGGTAGCGCCTGACGTTTAATGAATTAATTCTGGGTCATTTTAGGTTACGTACATTTCAGTAAGATTCATAATTCAGGCAACATCTGGCAAATTTACAGCTGCTTCAGGCGAAAAAAGTCGCACATTTTTTAGGGAGCTCGGTCGGGCGTTGAGGTGAAAATAAACGGAATTCGCGATTAAAGAAAATAATTTAGAAAATTTGAAATATCGAAGAAAATATGTGTCATCTGAAGAGCGAAACATTACCTTCGCGAAACTGAGGAACATCGTGGTAGATGCGGTGGAAGACATGGTTCCAGTGTCACCAGATGGCACAGGTGCTTTATAATCCTGAACAGCGATGACGTGCCGAGACCTTTTTCGCAAACCTTCCAGGAAGTACATGACTAAATCGCGGATATCCTCGGAATTCGGGCTCTGGAATGTAAACTCTTCCCCGCGGATGGTCGTGATTGTGAACGTTTGCGCCACTGCCTTGTTACTCCTGAAAGAATGCAGGCACGAAACGAAACACGAGCTGATTAATCTTCCAAGTACTAAGCTAGAATTGAGAAAAATTCTGCGATCATCAAGGTTATGGGACAACTCACATTTTGCATCAATTCACACAGCAAATATTCATCGAATATTATATTCAACAATTTTTTAATTAATTTTTGCATTCATTTTTCTGTTTAAAGAGGTGTTATATACTGTACATATTTTTGCAAGAGTGGCACTTTGAATGAAGAATTACTTTTGAAGCACAAGAAAAGAGCTTCAAAGCGTCGCCAAAATTTAATTTTTTTTTAAATATTCATCTGGATTAAAATTAGGTTGAGATATAGGAAACATTTTCACCTATTATTTTCCGAAAGCGAATTAAGAAAAAGAAGTTTCACCAAATAAGGAACAAAACGTATCGCTCGAACAACTGCGTTTGAAATAGAATCCTAATTTTTAGAATATTTCGAATGAAAATCACGATGAAATTTTTAAAATGCTGCAAGAAATCAAGAACTGCAAATTAAAATATACGGTATATCTTGGTAAAGGACCACGAGCTTTCTGAAAAACTTGGGAAATGTACAAACATTTTTGAACTGTTGCGATTATCCATTGGTTGCTGTGCAATTCCTAATCGAGAAATTGGGCGAAAAATACTCCTGAAGCGATCTTTCTGCGAACTTACTTGTGGGCAGTCATAGACGTGATTTCGGGAAATGATAATTCCAACAGGACCTTCTCCTGGTCATCCACGACATAGACGCCCGTCCAATTGACGGCGATGATGACATCATTTTTGGGCAAGTTAGGGCCGGAATACCTGAATGCTTCGTAGAACCTCGAGAACAAAAGCGGCCACTTGAACTTGGCATACGATACCACATCTTCTTTGACAGCCAATGAAGGAGCCTTCTCCTTGACGTAATAGGCCTGCAAATGTGAAATAAATAGAAATAATCGGTATAAAAATCCTTCCATGAAAACAATGAATTCATTTTCCAACGTAGAATGCCGAACATCACATATGAGCAGAAATTATAAAAATGATAAGAGCTCAGATTAAAATTCTCTAAAAAATGAAGTACTGTACTGTACTGTACTGTAGTTCCTCAGATACTATTTAAATTGAATCATCAAAACTTTACACCTTAGTTGAAACTTCTTCCGTCGAATTTCTCCAGCAAACACTATTTTAAACCCAGAATTACCCAAAAATAAGTTGACACACAAGTGCAATGAATTGTAACATAAATCACACCTTTTTGAATGCGGTGATGGTGAGCTTTGCCCATCTGTCCAAAGCAACTGCTTCGTCCTGTCCAGCCAAACAATAGTCCGGGATGTAGTTCGGCAACGTGTTCAACAACCTTTCCGGATGAATATCTGGTCCGCCAAACTCAATGTAAAATTGCTGCGCCGCAATCATGGCCAAGTCTTCTTCCTTGTCGCACCTGTATTCTCCAAATTTCACTCCTCGAACGACCTGAGAAATTGAATTTTGTTTTTCTCAGTGAAAAAAAAAAA